GGAAAGAGCAACGCGGAGACGCACGCCGTTGTTTGCAAACGTTGTTTGAGAAGGCGCCGTAGCACGTCCCCTCCTGTCCGGCCCGAGCGGCCCGGCGAGAGAAGTTTTGCTTTGAGGGATTGAAGGTAGCAGAGCCATACTCGAGTCGGTCACTGACTCGGTTCCTCTGCAGCTCGTTCGGTCTCCGCGGCCACTGATTTGCCCACGGCCGGCAGCGACATAGAAGATGGTGGCGCTGGCCTGCTGAAGGTGGAGCGCCTTTAGTTTGTTGCTTTGATGGTTTGTCTTGTTTTGTTTCGGCTTCTTCCGCGCTCTCGTTTTCGGCACGACGTGCCTCAAAAAACCAAGTCGCACTTTCTCCGCCTCCCCCACTTTTCTAAGGGGAGGCTACTCCGGCAGGGGGCTCGGATTCAACGTCCAAATTCTCGCACAAAGTCGTAAATGGCGCCGATGCAATTCCCTCTGGAGGGTGGTGGGGTCGTCACGCACAGACGCAAAACGGCCATGCTTGGGGCGAAAGAAAAAAGTCTCTCACGGAACGCCTGGAAAATGTTAAGCAGAAATCCCATTCGGCGGTCGTAGTGCACGACGCGGGCGCCGGCACGAGATTTCGTGAGGCACCCGCCTTCCTTGGCCCTACCGCGGCGCGCGCGCGCGCCCCCCAGGGGAGGGAAAACGAAAGTAATAAACAAGCAGATGGGTAAAATAACTGTTCGAAGTCGCCGAAGCAGGTGGGGCCCCCTTTGCCGGCCCCATGGCGCCAGCTATAGGCGCGCAAAGGGTGTGGGGTGTAGGTGGGTGAGTGGGGTAACGCGCGGCATTCACCGCCACACGCTCGTTGTAAAAAAAAAAAAAAACGCGGTAAAATCCAACACCGCAAGCGAACTGCCGCGGGCAATTCAGCTTCGGCAAGATTGCCGCGTCCAGAAATCGGCGCGCTCTGTGGACGCAGCTCCCGGGTGCCATAAAGGGCGTTTCTTGCTGGGCAAACGCGGGTCGAGGTAGCGTCGCAAACTTGAGCCACGATTGCTCCGGCAACCGGGCCATAGGGCATCGGCCCGCCCGGCGCCCGCAAATATCCCTCCTTTTCGCCCCAATAGGGCCAGGTCCAAGAGCGATGAGGCCACACACGCTTACACATATGTGCAGGAAGCTCATGCAAACGGATCAAATTCTGCAACAAAGGTGTTGTCGTCTCCCCCCTGCATGGGGTGGGGCGCGGAGGCGGGGGGGGCGCCCAATATGTCGAGAAAGTTCCTCGCTCCAGGCGCGCCGCCCTGAACATTAGCGCTGCGCCACGTCGTTTCCCCCACCCCTCGGGAGGTCATGAAGTAATCCAACGGATCCGGCACGAACCGTTCGGTGGGCTGTGGGCCGGCGGGCGGCGGCGGGCTGCCGGTCGCTGCGGCATTGGCGGTTGTGTGCGAATATTCTTTTGCAGAGAGGGCGCCGGGTGATTCCCGCCGCGGTGGCGCCGTTGTGCAGGCGGCGCTTGGGGCCTGTGTGTCCCTTTCGCCGTTTTCCGCCAGTGGAAGCGAAAATGCGGTGTGATGTTTGTTGGGCGAATGCCCGCTTCTCGTGGTCTCTGGTCCAGCTGCTTGGCTCGGGGGGGTTTCGTGGCGTGGGTGCTGGCTGCCAGCTGTGGCATCACCCGCTCCTTCCGAAGATGGTAATTGCGGCGCTGTCTTGGGCAACGGCGTGTCCCTCTCGGGCGCCTTCTCGGAGCCTTCCTCAGCAGCAACTCCAAAGGAAGCGCCAGCGCCGCCTCGCTCCTCGTCGCGGATGCCGTTGGCGACGCGACCGGCCTTCGCCAGAAGCGCGTCCAGCGTGTTGCCGATATCAGCAAAGCCCTCGCCTGGAATTGAGGGTGCAACGGCGGAGGCAGAGGCTGTGCGCAAAAGTGCGATCTGTGCATCCACCACCTCAGCGTACGCTCGGCATACGCATCGCAGGGGTTCCCAGGGCTCGCTGACGCAAGCGGCAGCGAGCGAGGAGGATGATGGAGAAGAGGGAATCGTCTTCTGCGTTGCTGTCGGGTTATTTTTGTAACCCGCTACCTGCAGCACAGGCGTCATCTCTTTCTGCAATCGTGCAACCTCAGCCAAAAGTTCTTGTTCCCGTCCTTCAAGGGAGGAAACCAACCCCCGCATCTTATCAAGCGCGGTTTGAAGCGCCTCCACGCCGTCTGGAGATCCTTTGTCGTGTGCAGTGAACCCTGCTGTCGCCGCCGCCGCAATGGCCGCCCGACTCAGCAGCAGCATGTGGACCGCCGCGTCTCCCTCTTCACGAAGGATGCCCAATCTGCCAATGCCTTCCTCCTTGGCCAGCAGCTGCCGCTCCCAATCAACTTTGGGTAGAGGTGAATCGCGCATCTCCCGCCACTGCCTCGTCTCCGCCTCGGCGGGGCCGCCCGCTTTGCACACAATCCTTTCGTCTCCACCAAACTCGGTGTCCGTCTCCTCCGCTTCCATCTCCGCCTCATTTTTTTTTAGTGCAGGCGCCTTTGCCAAGACACCGGCGGACCCTAAACATTCCAGCATTGCCCTTTCACCCATACTCGCATCAGCCACGGTAACGCCGTAATCGCCACCCGGCGCTTTCCATCCAGCATTGATTCCGTCATCACCCCCCTCCTCCGACAACGCCCCACCCACTCCAGTAGAAGCCTCGGGGCGGGCGTTAAAGGATGGCATCTTTGCATGTTCACCCTCGTACCCGGAAAACACTATGGGTGAAGTAAGTGCATCCCGCACCGAGCGGGGCTCCGTCGTCCGCCGCTCATCTTCGCCTCCGCACGTGCCAGCAGAAGCGGCGAGTCGTTTGTTTAGCCGCTGAATCTCTCGACGCTGCTCCTCAAGTTTTGTGTTCATCTCAGTGAAAAGCTCCGCGCGCGCGTGCTCAATTCTGTCAAACCCTCGCTGACGGTCCACTTCAAATTCTTGCATTTCCTCGATGCATTTCCAGTACAATTCAACCCGTTCCAAAAGCAACTTCTCCTGTTTGGACGGGTTCCGCAGGCGAATCTCAGGAAGCGCATCCGGCGGGGGCAGGCCTCTGCTGCCTGCAAGGCCGCGTGCGGGCGCATGCGTGTCCGCTGAGGAGCCGGTGCTTCTGGGCCTCGTGGCGGGGCTAGGCACGGATCCACCATGCCTACCTTTATACTGCATCGACTCCGCTAACTGCCCCGATGTTCGCAAGGACGGAAATTCCTCATCTGGCAGCGAAGAAAAGGTGTAGACAGGGGGAATGCTTGCTACTGTTTCAGAGGATGCTTCCGCGGACACTTTCCAGCGTTCTGCAGCCACCAGATCCAGCTCTAAACGTGAAAGCTCCTCACAATGCTCTTGGAGCTCGCTCATGAGGGCCTGCTTCTCCTGATTTTGTTGTCGCACTACTCGCTGCAAGCTATCTCGCTCATTTTCCAGGGCAACAATACGGTCATGGAAGGGGGTGATATCGGCAGATGCTGCCGCATTCAGCTTTGTCGCGACAAACATGTCTTTCTGTGCCGCCCGAAGCCGTTCTTCTTCGTCATGGTGCGAGACAATTGCCGTGTAGAATGTGTTGACCTCCGTGAGCTCACGCACCTTCATCTCAAGCTTCGCCATTTCCTCGTTTTGCTGCGCGATGATTGCCGCAGCATTGGGGGGCGTCGAGAACTCTCCCCCAGCACTCCCCGCCAAACTGGTGCCGTCTGATCCCTTTACCGACGCCTGGCCAACCCTGGCGGCAGCCGCCTTTGCAGGGACCGCACGCGCCTCCACGACGCCGTCGCTGCCCGTCGTGTCGGTCATCCCCACATTCATGTCCTCAAGCTGCTTGATCAAAACGCCGATGGTCTCTTCATCCGCCGCAGACTTCTCAGACAACATGACATTCTGCTGCCCCAACGCCCGCACCGCACTCTCTTTCTCACAAAGCTCCTGCTTCAACTGGTCCACCTGTCTTTTGAGTTCCTTGGCGCGTTCGGAGCTCGTCTGGTGTTGCCGCAGCTGCTGTCGCAGCTGCTTGACGACCTCCAGAAGTTCCTCGCGAGTTGCCTCGTTGACGTTGAGGCGATTCATTTTTCCCGCCTGCTCCTTCCACGCACCGTGAAGAAAACCGCAACAACAGCAAGAGGAAGAGGAAAAGAATAGAAAAGTACGATAGTACGCAAGGGAGGTAGCACATCCTCCGACTCACTGCATCGTGCCGTGGAGGAGCGGGGCGCGCAACACGTAACACCCCCCCCCCGTCCTCGGCACCAACCCGCAATGAACAATCCCCGCACATCAAAAAGCAAAAAAATAAATAAATCAAGAACTAAATCCTCGTGAGGGAAATAAAAAGAAGAAACCAAAACAAAATTTGTACTCGCTGCCTTCCGACATCGTATCGTTGGCAGCGGGGAAAACAAAAAACAAAAACTAATGATGCGCAAGAAAAGAGAGAGGCAAAACCCTACATGCGATCTCCCGTCAACCCGCGTTGAGTCACGGATCCTTTGTTCTTTCTCCCTCAAATACTCCCCAAAAACAACATCCCAAAAAATAAATAAGAAAATACAATAAAATGCACTGATCCCAAGGGCGATGTGCTTTGTTGCACCCCCCCCCCTCCCCTCCCTCCCTCCCTGCGAAGGAAAAGAGAGAGGAGGGGAACCACAGGTGCGGCACGGTGTGTGTGTGTGTGTTGGCCATACTAGGTGCGTCGTGCTGCAACTATGTTATCCAAGGGAGGGTTGCATCCAAGAGAACTCCACACTCTCCGCAGACCCCGACCACGGAAGGGCCGCCCTTGCACGCCGTCCCATCCTGCATGTCAAAGTCCCAGCCGCACTCGGCTTTACTCATGCACAGCAGCCGAATGTAACCCATTTCACTCAAGTTTGGGGTCCACGAGTTACGTAACATCCAGTAATCAGCACACAGACTGTCATCGTACCCGTAGCCCACAAGCTGTACCGCGTGGTTAATAATTTCATGTTCTTGCCGTAGTCGCGGCCGTGGAAGGTGCCCCCGGCGCAGGAGCGCCAGTATGTTGCATCCACGTTGACGGCCAAAGGGCCGAAGCGAGCAAGAGCCCTCACGATTGCATGCTAATTGTTGGCTAGAAGCTTCATGTAGTGGTTGACCCGGGCGACGTGTAGGAATATTCCCACTGTTGTAATGCCATTTCTAGTATAGTGGTGGACGAAATCTTCTGTAGCACTGTGGCAACCACCTATCCCACCGCACTCGTATGGGCTGGATACACAAGTAGTCAATCCCTGCTGGCTCATCACGTGAAACCTTTCAGTTGAAATGACGTAAAGCGTCTCCACCCCTTCCACCGCAGCATGGACCCAACAATTTCCACAAGAACCCTGATTCTTCACCGGTGTCAGAACTGCGGGGGTGTAGTTGCGGTAGTCCACCGCGTTGCGGAGTCGCTGACCGGTTGGCTTGTACTGACGCTGCAAACTCTTCTTGGTGAAATGGCACATGATACTAGACCTTGCCCTGTTCAGCCTCGCAAACTCTTCCGGCATCCAGGATAACATGTAATTGATACTCATCACGTAAAGGTGTTTTCCAGCCACATTGTAGGCGGGCACCCTCGCCAACGTCCGCTCGATCACGGCTCGACGACGCACATATTCATTTGCGTCGTACACCTTTCCAAACTCCCGCAGAAAGGATCAAATATGTAGCCATCAATATTTTGCGGCTTCAGCCACCCTGTGGGGACGATAAGGGCAGCAGAGGGCGTCAACGCAACGAGAGCAAAAAGTAAGAAAAACACCACACCGTGGGTCATGCTATGCTGCGGCATCCTTTACTCCTGCTGTGCGTATTTGTGTGTGCACGCACGTAGGTAGAAGTATGTGTTGAATATTTGTTGAAAACCTTTTTACTTTTTTGCCTTTCCTTCGTCACTCAGAGAGTAAGTAGAGAAGCCCACACGAATGCATTGCATCACGTCCGAAGATCGATAACTGGCATCTTCTTGAGGGTCACAGCGTAAACGCCCCGTCGGGGAGTCACACACATGCACCATCTGCAAAACAGGGGAAATCTCGCTGTGCACCCTGGCACGCTGCAGACACACGGTCAATAGGCAGAGGTTATCGACACCCCTCTTCCCCCATTCCTTTTTCATTGTCGTGTCTGCGGTGCAGAACTGGGTCAACCCTGACGGTGATGCTCAACCGAAAGATCAGGGGGATAGAACAAAATAAAATGGAAATGGAAAAAAATACGAAACAACGCTCGGGGTGTCTAACCCGCAAAAAGCCAAGATACAAACAGGGCGTCCGTCCAGGTCGAGGTTTCCTTCACTCTTCCTATGCATGAGACTGCAGAAGTGCAAGCGTTGCAAGCAGCTGGTCCAGCTGCAGCCTGAATTCCTGGATCTGGCAGTTCTTTTGCTCAATCACCATTTCCGTTCGCTGCTTCGCCAATGCAAGTTCAAAGTCAGCCACACGCTTGACCTCCGAAATCTCGTGGGCGGCTTCACGCTCCTTCTGCACCTGACGACGTTCAAGGTACCTCAATCGCTCCGCAACGCTTTGAAGGAAGGCATGACCATGTCGTGGGTCCTCAAAAGTAATTTGTGGAGCTTTTTGGCAGGCCCACGAGGCCGCCTCCAAGGCCTGCTGTTGTTCAGCAATGGCCTTCATCTCCCGTTGGTGGTTCTCTTGAATTCGCTTAATGTCCTCGTTGTGCTCCTGTCGCACATGCTGCAGCTGGTACTGATACTCCTGCCTTGCGGTTAATAGGCGTTCTTCCCACCGTGCATGTGCGTCGCGAAGTGACCCTTGGCTCTCCGTTAACAACTGTTTGTACACCGCCAACTCGGCGGTGAGGGTGCTAAGTTGGGCCTGCATGCTCGAAATAACATGCAATGGGAATGTTTTTCCTTCACTGTCAGGGGACGCTGCGACAGCAGCAGGTGTCTGTGTCACCGCCTGAGTGGTTTGCGACAGTTGACTTTTCAGAGCTTCATTCTCCTTCTGGAGCAGTGAAATGGCTTCTCCCACGTGGTTAACCGCCCCCGTTTGCGTCGCTGTCATGCATGCTTTGGACTCCTCTGGCTCATCCAAGGCCGCAGCGTCTTTCCCGGGTAGACATCGGTCAGCAGCGACCGGCCTCTCCACAGCTGCCACGAATGATTTTCCTTCCTGGTCTCTTTCTCGCAACGCCTGTCTGGCTTCCGCCAGTTGCTTTTCCAGCTCGCAAACACGTCGCGTCTGTGCATGCATGAGGCGGATCTTAAGCTCCTCCTCGAGCCTCTCAATCTTTTCTTGGTACTGAATCCGCAGACGATCCGTCTCCACCCGCAGGCGGGCGACTGCCGCCTCAGCGCAGCGGTCCTTTTCTACGATCGCCTCCTCCAGTTCCTTGATTCTAAGGTTAAGCTGCTTAAACTGCTTTGAATCTTGAACCGAGGGTTGACAGCTGCGAATGAGTTGTGCAATGCTGTCCGGGTGTTTCTGGTTAAGCGCCTCTTCAAGCTCAACCACGCGCTTGGTGAGGTACTTCACCCGTGCATCCTTCCCCACACGCTTGTGCCTCCCCGTGTCGTCCATGGCCCCCATCTCATGCAGTCTCGCACGGAGACGGCAGATGGTGTCCTGCTGTTCCTTCAGCAGCTCCTCCTGAGAACGGTTAAACTCCTGGTGCTCCACATACCACGCAATCTTTCGTGCCATATCTTTCACGGTGCCATTGTGTTCCGTCTCCTTGCGCTTTAAATCGACACGCAGGTTGCGAAGCTCCAGCTCCATCTCCCCAAATTTCTTGACATCAAGAGCTGCTAAACGGGTCTCAAGCTCTTTCTTCTCGCGTCCAAGCAGCTCCAACTCCAGCTGCAGCTCCCGCACCATGGTTTTCTGCTGTTCCAACTCCATATGCAGTTCGTCTTGGCAGCCCCGCTGCCCGCTTTGCGTTGACGTGGTTGCAGCGGACGGCAGAGGCTGACCTGCATGGGGATTGGGACTCTGACTACTTGCCAAAATACTGTACTTGGCCTCAACATTCACTGCCTTTTGCTCCATCTCGGCCAATTTAGCACGCAGTAGCCGCCGCTCTGCATGAACCTCCGCGTTGTCCCTTTCCAAGGCCTTTAACACACGCTCCTGCAGAAGCATCTCTTGCTGGACTTCCTCTAATTCTTCCTTCGTGACCATAACCCCTGAGCGTACCGCCTTCCACGCCACACTGTACTCCTCTTGGAGACTCCGTTGGCTCTCGTTACCTTTCAACTGCGTTAAGGGCTCATCGCGGCTTGTGTCTACTCTACTGATCTCAACCAATCTCTCTGTGCCCGTCAGGCTACTTGCTACATCCTCCACCTGCAGTTTCCTTGCTGCGGGCGGAGTATTCTTTATACCACTCTCCGACTTCACAACAACAGCGCTGCAATTGTCACCACTTAGCATGCTTTCAGCTTCATCCGCATCATTCGCCTCCCTTCGCGACCTAAGAAGGGCCACTAGTTCCTCAGAGCTTTTCCCCTGCAGCGAGGTCGTAAATTGTTGCTTTGCACTGACTTCATCACGTGCCAGGTAACGCCTAACGTCCTCTACGGGGTCCTCAGTCATTGAGTAGCTAAAATGACAACGAAAACAAGAACCACAAAAAAGGCAAGAAAACCCCAATGAACACGGCAGTAAAAAAAAAAAGCCTCTAGAAGACAAGATGCAATGAGTAAATAAAACAAATGCGTAAAACAAACACATTACAAAATCAACAAAAGCGAGATCCTATAAAAGTTACACCAAACAACAGCAATTCCTGCATGGTTTGCAATGGTACATCTGGAGGCAATTCAACCTGTCCGGAGGCTTCGATACAGCTAGGTGGGTAGGTCAGTACGTTCGGTTCAGAATTTCCTGCAAACGAAGATTGATACGTTCAATCACTGGACTGACCTCTGTTTTCCCCTTTCCATTCAGACTACTCGGTGACTCTTGCAAAGGCGTTATTGCAGTCTTGTCGGTTGGCAATGTTGCGGGGCATCTTGTTTCTGAGGAACTCCCCCGTAAGCTTGCAATAGGTGGACTAGTAGGAGAGCTGCGGGGATGGGTAACCGAATAGCTCTTGTCGCCAATCACAATCTGACTTGTCATTCCGCTAGGTGGTTCTTCGGTGGAGATAAGCATAGCTCCTTCTCTCGATTCCCGTTCCGCCGTACATGGGGAGAAGTGATCATCCAATGAGTGCTTCGATGACGGTGTGGGAGCAACGGGGGGCAAGACACCTGTAGAGTGTAATGATCGTTGTGTTTTAGTGGAAGAGGCTGAGCGTTGCACGGCACTCCTATTCGCTCCGGCCTCATCCACCGAGTTAAGAGTATCACTGCAGATGCAAGGGGGACTCGTTGCCACAACATTGTAGCGGTGTTCCCATCGAGCCTTCGTAAATAGACTCCTATCTCGCAACGCCACCACTTGATGAAGGTTCTCTTCTGCTCGGTGGCCACCTGCCTCTAATTGACACGTAAATGCTCTTGGCAACGTCGAATGAAGTGTTTGCGACCTAAGTGAGGTGATGTACTCTAAGTCCCTTAACGCCTTTTCTTCTTCTTGCCGTAACAAAGACGTCCGTCTACGTATTGCAATAATATTATTGCAAGCACACACACACTCGTTTTGCGCTTTGTTCACACTTTCCTCCGTAGCCAGTTTCTCGTCCTGGAGCATCGCCTTCCGGCTTGCCTTAGACTCAAGTTGGGCCTGCAGTACAGTCACGCGTTTCCTTGCTTCATCCAGGGACATCGCGAGGGACTCCGTTTCCGTCTCCAATAGCTTTTGAGCTTCTTTAATTTCATGCTCCTCTTCATACAAATCCTTCACTTTCTGTACTTCGTCCTCTGTCTCCTGAAGCTGTTGCTGCGTGTTGTCACGACTGGCCTCTATTTGAGCTTGAAGTTCAACTTTCTCCTTTTCCAGTGCTGCGACCGCACGTCTTACACGCTCAACCGCATTAGTGGCATGCTCAAACTCAAGTGTTTGAGAGTTTGCAGCATCAACCGTTTCTCTCTCCACGGATTGGGCTGCCTGGGTTGACGTTGATGTGTCTTCTAGAACTTGCTGTAACACCTCTATTTCCATAGACAAGCGCAATATTGTCTCCTTTGTTGAAACTATACTTTCATTGAGACTCAGGGAGCTATCTAATTCTACCAGATCCTGTTGCAGCTTCTCTCGTATACCTTTCTGGGCATTGTTTGCCAGTTGCAGGCTCAATATGGCTGCTTCCATGTTGTTAACAGTGTGACGAACATCCTTTAATACATCTCTCTGCGTAAAGAGCTGAGACTTTACTCTCTGATGACCTTCCTCTAGACATTTTCGATTGATCAAACAAAGTTTACTCTTCATTTTAAGAGAATCGAGAATTGCCGTCATGCAATTCAGCAAAGGAGCTACTGTTCTAGTCACTTCAACATAGTATGGTGCCAGCTTCTCCTCAGGCAAGAAGCGTTGGGGTCGTGCTTCCCCAAACGACCACGTACTTGCATTAAGAGGATTTTCACCCGGGTTCATTTTGAGTTTCACCTTTAACTTGGTATTGTGTTCCTCGCTCATGCTCCAAACATTCTGAAAGCACTGTATGAGTTCCCTCAAGCCATCAAGATAATGCTTATACTTTTCATCATTGTGCATGATAAAGTTTGCAATACGGGTCAATGCAGTTCCCGCCAGCTCTTCGTTTTTCTGTGCCTTCTGCAGCGATTGGCGCGTCGCTTCAATTTCCTCCTGAACTTTACCAATTTTTAAGGAAAACTCCCCATCCCTTGTACTCGTAACACTATTTTCCAGCACTGGAGGAGAAGGGGAACCGCCACCAATTTTTTTGTGGACCAGATCCACGAGACTCGTTTCTATCCTGGCATTCTCTTCATTCTGACTCTCGATAGATGCCGTTAGATTCAATATTTGTTGCTCGTACAGTTGCAACACCTCAAATAATCGCTCAACATCTTCACTTCCCGACTTTTTATTACAATACATGGCTGTTTTTGCCTCTACGAGATCACATGTAACCGGGACAATGAAATTTCCCTACCCTGACCTACCCCTAAAAAAAAAAAAATTAAAAAAAATATGTCTTTCTCTCTTCAGAAAGGTAAAGTAATAAGAGGCAAATGTTAATGGTACCAAAACATGTGCAAAGTGACACAGCAGCAGCAAAAAAGAAACATATAAAACATGGAAAACGCTGAAGTAAAAGTGGAAAATAAGTTTATATCATTGAATACACCCCAAAATTCTATTCAAAATCCCCCCCTTCCCCCCTCGCCACAACTACAGCGGTAGTGTTTTCATAGATTCCACGACTAGCAAGAGACATTTTTACCATTTGTAAAAAAAAAAAAATGGTAACAGAGACACCGTTTATTGAATCCAGCTGCCAGCTTAAAACCGTAGAAACAGGTGGCAAAAGTTCAGCTACGGAAGACTTTTCTATCAATCCACTTTCACCAAGAAAACACAACAACGACGACCTTGATTCCACAGGTACTGGCTCTACCAGAGTCCAAAGCTTTTTAGTTTCTGGAAGCTGCACCAGTTTAATAATAAGCGATGACCACACAAGGGTAATCATCATATCTGCTCGAGTTAATCCAAGAGCCACCCGTTCGGCGTCCCGCAAAAAGAAACTTAGTAAGGAGAACAATGCCACAGCTGGCAAATCGTCTAAGCAATTCCGTTGTGAAAAATGAACTAAAAACTGCGTGGCTACAAACCTTCGTTTGCCTGTTCGAACCAAATCTTCCGCTATGAAGCACACCGACAACAAGTTTACATTACATTCCTTTTCTAATAATGCCGACATAAATCGGTCGAACGCCTGACTGCTTGCACCGAATCGAATTAAAAATCCCACCGCGGTCATTAATGTGTTGTCTGCAATTGCTGTTTTCTCCACGTGCTTTAAACAGTATCGACACAAGCTCACCCCAAGCGTTGTTGGCCTCTTTGAAGATTTATTGTCACTTCGAGCAAGGTGTTGAACATCATGGGTAATGATAATAAAATAGATGATATTGCTGCATTGGGGAATCATAGGAGGTTCGACCTCAGTTCTTAGTCGCCTGTCATTTTGGGGAAGCGAAAAAGTTATGCCGTCCTCCGAAAAAAAGTGAAGCAACAATATTCAAAAAATCCTGGAAGCTGCTCAAAATTTACACCCTTTCCTATCTTTTTCGAGGAAAGGTTTTCATCATCATTGTGAATACTGAAAGTGGCGGCAACTGAAGCAACCAAAAGAGAATATCCCGGTGCGTTTGGCTTATTTTCCCGCTCAATCATGTATTAAATTAATTTATGTGTAAGTTTCATTAATTGATTCCATACAGCCTCTGATGCTGCAGTCCACAAGGTGTGAACCAGAACCAAACCGGCTTTCCAATCTTCTTTTGACCATTCAACGGCCTTCAGCAAATCTAAGCACCAAAGCTCCACTCGATTTAGAAGGCGTTAAAGCAGCAATCTATCACCGACACCAAGTGCACACATGGCCGCAAAAAGGTGAGCTGCTAAATGAGTGGAAAGCAACTCAATAGTCTTTCCCCGTTGAAAAACACCAATGAGAACATGATGAGATGCAGTATTCAAGAATACCAGCTCATGCGCTGCAACAAAATAGGTGGCTACATCTTTTGAATGCGTGCTTGGTTGATCTTCCTTAAGGAGCTGACAACCAACCCATGAGAGAGCGTCTGTTAGCGCCTCACGAGAGACTCCAGCTTTTATTCCATCAAGGATTAAGGAAAGCGTTGAGCCAGGAGAAAGTCTTGCTTTTACCCGAGAAAACATAGAATGTCGCAACTAACTGATACATCTTTTCATTTTTAAAAGCCACTTGATGATGGGCGAGTGACTTGATGATAGATACACAATGTCTTACAGTGGTACTACGCACACCCTTTCGGGTACTTAGATTTTCCATTAACGTTGGTACATCCACTGTACAACTTTTTTCTTGTACCGAAGGTTGTAAAGACTTCTCACAGATATGTAGATCGATAGTATCCGAGTTCCAAGCATCCATTGATACTGTTTGCGCTAACTTTTTATGAGTTCCACCTTCCTGTGAGTTGTTTTCGTATACAAATTTGTTTTCAACACCAAGTTGCTGACAGTTATCCTGAATCGCACACAACGTTGGTTTATCATGAACACGCAGCTTCATAATAGAGTTCACGATACGAAAAAAGTCCTGTCATGATACAACACGAACGGTCCATGGTAATTTTGTTATACATCCCTACAAATACCTTTGCTTAACATGCTCCAAAATATTTCCGTTTACCAAGGCCTCTAGAACCACAATGACCTCTTGGACAGAAGCCTTTTCGAATCCTCGTAGATGTACAGAGGAGAATATAGACATACTTAGGCGGGTGGTAAGAATGTCCCTAAAATGTATACGTTGGTCAAAAAGAAAATAATTCACCAATGGCTTTTGATTATGTCCTTCAGAGATCATATCCAGCTTCGAATCACAATACCACGCGCCCTTCTCACCATTAAGCAGCCCACAAAGAATCAGATGAAGCAAAATCTGCGCATTTTTCAATACATTTGTTGTACCAGACCATGTAAGCATCTCCAAAACAACACAAGATACTTGACAGTTTTGTAATTCTACACGGGCGACATCTTGAGCCAAAAAAACTAGAACTATATCAAGCACCTTTAATGACCGTTTCAGAAATCCTTGCGATGTACCTTGAGTCTCACAGTACTCGGTCGAAACATACACTATCAATCCAGCCTCTTGTAAACGAGGAGTTGCGTTCCTCACACCGGAGCACTCAAGCAGAGGACATAAACCGCAAAGTAATAACAACAAATCCATGGGAACATCATCTTTTATTTTTTCCAACTCAATCCCGCGCAACAGCAGGGCATCCAAGGTTTTCACATATGCGTTTCGCAGGTCTACAATAGGTGACCAGAACGTAGATAAGGCCCAAAAAAATGTAAATAACTTCGCGTTGACTGAGCAACATACAGTCGATTGACTCCACTATTACAAGCAAGCTTTCCAGAAGAGAGTGCTTGACCTCAACGGAAATCCATTTATTTTCTTTTGAAGTAATAAGTCTTCCAATAGTGTACGATAATGTCGGTAGCAACTCTGTTTGACACTGTTTTACCAAACCTTGAATGGATTCTAAAGCATGTGGTATGAAACTAGGTGATAACCGGGAACCGACAGTGGTGATACAATGAAGTGTTTCTAAACATTCATAATCCCTCAGGTTTTCTGTAAAATTCAGCTGAGACAATTTACCCTGTATCCGTACGCATTCAACGTTTCCACAGACGCTCTTTTCAACAAGTATTGCAAAAAGCCTAGTAACGGTTCGACATGAAAGTTCAGGTAGATGGAAAAAACGGAGTTTTTTCAGCCGCAACCAATCTTCCGGCGACGCTATTCCAAGGGATGAAACTGAAGAAAAAAGCTCCGTCAATCTTTCATTCGTAGCGGCTTCTTGCATATAGCTTTTAAGTAGATAATCCTGCAAATTGTCGCCCCGTTTGGAGGACGGGGGGTGAAAGAACCGAGACCTCGTTTAGGGCCCTCCCCAACAAAAGGCGCAAGCGCCTCGCCGGAAGCATGGGAAAGCGCTGATGACTTCTAACAACTACGGCGTGTGTAGAACATGGCAAAAAGCAGTCAAAGAGGTATAGAGACACAAGATAAGTAAGCAGAAGCAAAATATAAATTGTAGGCTGTTGCATTGGTGGTGGCCCCCCGCGTGGGTCCTTGTTTGTGTGCTTTTTTAGCCCTTCGGGGTTGGGCGAGGCTGCGTATTTGTTTTTAATATATTCAATGCATTTTTTTTAATGCTGAGATCCGGTGGAGGCTTAAAAATGGCTGCCTGTTGTTGCTGTGTTTCTTTTTCTTCTGGTTTTTGTAGCTTCTTTCCAGCTTGTTTTAGATTTATTACAGGGTGAAATAGAAAAAGCGAAGGGTCGTCTTTGTATTCGCACGTATGAGCTCTATGTTGTTGTCAATTCCTAGTTCAGCAGAAAAATGCTCGCCGGAAGACAGTGGTATTTTGTGAGTCTTGATATCGCCAGTGCTTGTCTTGAGGGATGATGCCGGGTTAGTTTTTTTTTTTTTTTTGAGGCAGGTGTTTTGCGTGTCAAAAAGAAAACCTTCGTTTTTGCGCAGATATTTGGCAGGTGTGCTGTTCTTTCCGTGCCTTGGGTATGTGCTGAATATCTCCTAACAATATCCAATACGGCGGGAGGCAAGGGTGTTATTGGCACATTTAATTGTGTGTTTATGATGAACGTGGATCACAAAACTTTCTATGGTAGAAGTATCATCCCATAGGCGTTATTTGCTCTTTTCCAGATGGTGTTTGTGAAAATGACGCCACTTTTCATGACTAGTGTTTATGCAAAGCAGTTGACTTTTCATCCATCTTTAGTTTTTTTGGTTTTATGGAAGTTGATTGTGTATTATTTTTTTTTTCTTGCCTACTGGATTTGGGTACCTGAGGGTGGGCTGGGTCGAATGGATGTACAGGATTTTGCCAGAGGTATTATGATTCATGCTACTACTGGGGTTTCATCATTGATATGTATCATTATTCTATTGATGTCATCGGGATTTCCATATTCATCGGGGTAATGTGCCTTACTTTCTTCTTCTTTTTACTTGTATTGGGGCCATTATGTTATGGACTGAATGGTTTGGGTTTAACGGAGGAAGTTCCCTTTTGTTCGGAAGAGGAGATGTTTATGCTGTCATTAATTTGCAGGTGGTAGATACTGTTTGCTCCTGCTGCTTTCTTTTTTCTCACATGCAGCGAACCAAAAAAGTGAGTCTTATTGCTATGATAAATGTGGAGCCACTGTGGGTTTAGCTGGCATAATTCCTATTTCTGGCTATATTACGGTACCTGACGCTATTGTTTGTGCTCTTTTTATTGCCGTTTTTGATGTTCTGTCTATGTATTTGATCAAACACAAATTCCGAATAGATGATGCACTTGATGTTTCCAGTATACATGGGTTACCTGGACTAGTCCGGGTTATTTTTATTGGATTTGCCGTGTCTTCACGGCGTCAATGGAGCAGATGCATTGGTTTATGGAGGGAGTGTGAAACTACTTGGCTTGCAGTGCCTGAGATATATAAAGCTGCTACATGGGCAGGAGTTTGGACCCTTTTCATTTCACTTATCATTGGCCGGTTTTACCGACTACGAGTATCAGACGGGCAGGAACGCGGTGGGCTAGTTCGCGACCATCACACCGAAATTGCATGATTGTTGCAAGGCTCAACAGTTGAGCGAAGTACATTGCCGGCACGTTACTTATAACATATAAAACAGGTTCAGAACAGCAGCCTGTTTATGGCGGAGGGTGGACCATACATTGTAGATCAAAAACTGATGAGCCTGTTTTGGTGGTTCTGAGGATGAATAATGACGAGGTTGCCATTGATGATGATCCTTGCGAAGAAGGCTTCAATATATTTACTTTTGCATTAACTGCTGATGCAAATAGTGAGGACACTGACAATGCTGATGAACGTCCAATTAATTGCATCTGAAAGGACACTGAGTTTTTAGGAGGAATTAATCAAAAATGCTTTTTGATATTTTCCTTTTGACTTTGTTGCTTTTTTGTTTTGTTTTACTCAATCGAGGTAATCTTTATGGTATTAAAGGTGTTTTTTTGGCGACGGTGTTAGTACCATTTTGCCTTTATTTATTGTTTATTATTGTTATCATTTTGAGATTATCATTATTGGAGTCGCGTGCGCTATTTTTTTGCCTTCCTTTTTTGAGGTGTGGAAAAATTTACTTTTTCTTTACTTACACTTGTGACTCAGTAAATGAAAAGATTAAATTGACGTTTTATGCACAGCTTGCGTGAGAGTAAGGTGAAGTACGAGTCTGTCGGAAAGTGTTGTATTATTATTACTAATACTATTTTTTTTGTTGTCGTGGTTTTTTTTTCTTATTTTGAAAATGGATAATAAAGTTGTGTCTAATAACCTTTTTTTTTTGTATTTTTGTTTTTACTTATTGTTATACATTACGAGGAAAACCAGAAGGAAAAGGAACTTGAAAGGGCTTACGTTGGTTTGGACCATTTATTGAACCGGAAAAGGGGATAAATTTAGATGTATGGTACCTCAGCGACATCACAACCCTCTGGAAGAGGGGATCTGCTATTATGGATTAATAGCGTTTGCACTGCGCAGTACCCAAACGTTGAATCATTGCGTGATGGTGTTGCGTATTGCACCATAGTTGATGCTGCAGCTTCTCGTGTGGCGGAAAACTGCACTGCGCTCAGACTACCAGAGGCAAATGTTGCTCAAACAAGGGCAAAACGTGCAGCTAGGCTTCTTAGTCGTGTTGAATGGAGTGTTACAACGGTTACTTGCATAAATCAGGACCCTTCTTCAGATACTATGCAGGAGCGTGGATACTGTGAAAAGAACATGCAGACACTACAACTTATGCTTCGGGGCTGCGTACCTCCGGAGTTTTCTTTGGAAGTAGATGTGTCACGTTTGGCGGCAGGAAAGCTTCAAGAGCATATCATGCTTCTGAAGTGGATGTACCGGTTTTTGAAAAAGATGCTTAGCACGTATTCTAGATCTGCTCTTGAGCGGCGAGCCAATACGTCTGAAGGTGGTGGGTATATAGAAGGAGTGAGACTGACAAGAGCTATGAAGTTGCAGCAAAAAATGGTTCGAGAGAAGTACGGAGGGCCTAATGTTCTTGGATCTTCACCTGAAAACGAAACAAAGAATACTGAACTACTGACCAGTGTGGGGGAGTATTCTGCAGCCCCCGAGTTCACCGAAGCAAAGAATAATAAACAAATCACACAATATGCTTCTTTTTCTACCACTGAATCTGGGGCGGTTGAAGGTATAAAAAATCTAACCGACACGTTATTGAAACCTCAACAGAGGCATCGAGATAAAACAGGCAGTTGCAATCTGCATACGAGCAAGCGAAGTTCTAAACTGAATGGTGAACCTTGCGGCTCTGATTTTCCTTCAAATGTGTGTGTAGAATCTTTATCGTTTTGTGTGCCAGAGGAGTATGTTGCAATGTTGGAAGATTTGAGGCAGGAGGTTGAGTTCTATGAGGCAGTTGTTCTTGCCACACATGGACGCCACCAGCGTTGTCTAACAGGTTTTAAAGACGGCCAGGACGGCTCTTTTGCTGAAGAGCGTTCTAGTGATGAGGGACCACTAGCGAAGAGGACGTCGATTATATCATTGGAACAGCTTGGTCTATTACTGGAGGAACGAGACAAGTTGTGGCAAACTCTGCAGGTGCTTCAGGATGTTCTTGTACGGAATGCATGTGACGAAGAAGAGGGAAGTGGAAGTGCCAACTCTGCCTTACCACTTGTGAGGAAAATAATGTTGGCACTTTCTCCCTTATAGATGAGCATAATTTTATTCAGCAACTATCGTATGAGATGTATACATTCTTGTTGACTGTGCAGGTGAGATGAAGTCTCTGTAATTCCGAGTCTTTTTTAGATTATTATTATTATTATTATTGTTATTTTATTACTGTTGTGAAGTTCATTATTATTATTTTTTATTTCCTGCTTTTGGCTATATTTATATATACTTTTGTATCTCAATTTGTATGTTTCTTCGTTTTTTTTTTTTTTTTGGGTACGGTTGGAAGGATTGATTTTTTTTTTTTTAACTTGCGTGTGTGTTTTTGTGGTTTCAGATGCCGCATCTAGTTATGTATTTGCACATATGCCTTACAATAGTATTACTCCTTTGCTCATGGGGGATGCTATTGAAGATGGGAAAGGCTATACGTGGAGTTTCTTTTACCACACGTATAGCAACAGAATGCTCTTCAATAGCATTAGGTATTGGAGCCTATGCTGTATTTTTTCTCCCTGGAACTTTTCATTTGGTTGGTGCTTCAAGTTTAATGCAGAGGAGAAGCCTTGGAAAATTTTTTCTTCTGGCGTCGACCGTTATTCTGGCAATTCATTTCGGTGTTCATCTAACAATTTCCGCTCGTCATCGTCAGACGCAAGAACTGATGTTGTTCTTATTCCGTATCCTGGCTGATGGTATTATGTTTTTTTGTGGCTGTGCAATTGTATTGGGTCCAGTATGCCGCATTTTTCAATGCTTTTGGAGTTCAAAACATCATAGGCAGAGTGACACCTTACGCGTTTGTACCCTGCCATTTTGGAGGGTGCGGGTTGTGGTGGGTATTTTTCTGACGTTTATGCTTCTTATACTGATCGTTCCATTGTTTCTTCCAGGTGATGGGAAGCGTCTCTTGGAAGTTGGGATGCTCGGGGACCGTGTCGATTTTTGCGGACTCGAGGGTTTAAAGTTATCGCGTGCTGCCGCAGTAGGGTGGGTGATTCCAGAATACACCCATCGCCGACTGCTTAACGCGTTTGGCGGCAGTGATCAATGTGGCACGAACAGGATCCTCTTTTTGGACGACGAAGAGGAAGTCTTGATTGTCTCTCCGCTTTGCCCAGACGGTAGCAGGCAAGTGAGGGTGTACGTTGAATTCCCAGAGCGCAGTGAATTAAATGGGGGGACAGAGGTTCTCCCTAAGGTGGTTAACATAAGCAAGAAATGGCATCAAACCTTGGAAAAACGGTATGGGATGAACGAGACAGTTCACCAATCGATGGGTGTTCACGTTACCCGTGGCCCAACAGGGGTGATTCAGTCTGTGGAGATTATTCCTTCTCGACTAGTTCCGGTTCTACGGAAACCTCGAACTGAACATGAAAGAATTGCACGTGCAGGCTGGCCCTCTAACGAGGTTTGGGTTATTCCACTGGGAGAAAGCGGGGCCTACACTGCTTATTGCTCTGCCTCAGACCACGAGGAATACCAGATCTTTCCACCCGTCCGGCATTCCACAAGGCTTCAAGGAGAGGCGGGAGAGAAAAAGGGGCAGGAAGAAGCTCATCCCCCAGCCAGTGTTCTTCTTTTGGTGTTGGATGCCGTGAGCCGTCAGGAAGTACGGCGGTCTTTACCAAAGTTTAGCAATTGGCTCCGTAACTTCCGAAGCAACAGATCGAGTAAACATGTCTTTGTGGAGGCGCAGGGTGCTACAACAATATCCCATAGCACGGAAGCCAATCTTGTTCCCCTTTTCACTGGCAACATTGTGAGCCGTCTGCGTGGCATAAGACGTGGGGTTGCGGAAGCAAGTCTCTTCCGGTTAGCGAAAAGAAAGTATGGTAGCCGACTCAGTACCTCCTATACCGTTGGAGACTGCATGGACATGATGTCGTCGCTCTTCGGTGAGAGAGACGACAATGCCGGGTTTGGTGAACCGTACGGCAATGACTTGGACTACTACACATTTGGGCCGTTTTGCCACATTCAGTATTCGGCGCTGGAGGGTAATTTTCAAGGGCCTAACAGCATCTTTCGACGATGCATCGGTCAGCAGTACGTACACGAGTACGTTTTGAATTACACACGTGCTCTCGTCAGGCGACGGTTGCGACAACGACGACGAGAAGAAGAAAAGAAGAAAACTAAGAGGATGAACCCGTTGCAAAACGACTCTTTACCTTTGCACGATGATGCTGTTTTCTTTTTTGATGTGTTGCACCTGCTTGAGGGCCACGAGGGCACACATGGTGTGCTGTACCTCGTGGATGACGCCCTCGTTGCCTTCCTCGACGAGCTTCAAAATAGTGTTGGCTTTTTCGACGACCCGTCCAATGCCCTGCTGCTACTTTCTGATCACGGTAATCATATGGGGCCTTACTACGAATTAACGGCACCTGGGAAGCTGGAACGCGCACTGCCGTTTGTAAGCATGATTTTGCATCACGAGTTGCTGTCCCGCATGGATCGGATAAAGGGGTACGCGGCGGGGGTTACGCTTTCGAACCTGATGCAGCGAACACGCCGCATCTCAACCACGTTGGACCTTCACATGACACTTGCGGACCTGTTGGGTGTGGAGGCAAAGATCCCTAAATCGCTGGAGGGCTTGGGCGTCCTGCCGTCATCGCTCTTCAACGCACGTGATGTTCCGCGAGGGATTGAGCGATGCTCCGACCTCGGGGCATTGAATAGCAAGGGATCCGGGTGCTACCTGATGTGGTGCGACAGGAAATGAGACGCATACATAATGCCGCTGCTGTGCAACAACTTTTTATTTTTGGATTGCTTCTCTGTGTGTAAGTCTGTACGGGGATGCATCGACGGCAGGCGGAGGAGCAAACTGCAGAAAACAAACAACAACAATAGTAACAAGAAATGTGTACTAGATAGCACGCCATACACGAATTGGGGTCTAGTGTGGTATGAACCACAGACACTGACCTAATCTCCCAAACTCCCCCAACGCCAAGGACAAAACCACATACATATTCCTAATATATATGGGTTTACTTTTATGTGTGTTAGTGGCCAGATGGAGTGAAAGTGTTGTAAGACGCTGGTGCTTCGCTCTCTGCGTGATGTTTATTGCTGTGCCCGCTGCTACTTTTCGTACACACACACATACACAAATGCATGCATGACTCCGGTTAACACATGGAGGGTGTTGATGGTATGCTCACAACCCCTGATGAAGTAGAAAAAGTCTTAGCGGCTGCTCAGACAGATTCGTGCCTTGCCTCGCGTGAGGCGGCGGATGCCCTGCACCAGCGCATCAGTGGGCTCTGTGAGGCCCAATGTCTCGCTCATAACCGACACTGCCGTCGCATTTACAATACACTTTGCAGATTTCTTAAGCCCGAAGAGGTTGTGCAACGACGCCAGACATCCGTCGCCCTCTGCCATGTGTGGAAAAGTGCGGCATCAAACTGTGATGATGTGGTGGCGGAAATTTTGTCGAGACTTATGGATGCCAAGCCAGTGAGCAACACCTCCGACGAGGGCTTCACCGTCACGCTTCTGCTGGCGCTAATAGCAATTGACCTGCGTGACGTAGGTGAGGGGGTTGCCGCGATGGAGCGTGCGTTGCAGCATCTGCGAACTGATACGGGGCGGGGGAAGGCAGGGGCGTCGGACATGGCGGCCCAGCGCAAGGCGTTACAGCGACGGCGGGTTCAACGCATCATGACGCTTCAGGCCGACCGCGACTATTCTGCCCAGCTGCTTAAGGAGGCGTCCCACCAACTTGGTCAGTTGATGCTGCAGTCGAGGCAACTGCATGCGAGTGCCGAGAGCCAGCGGGTACAGATGCACGCAGTGGATGTGCTTGCACGGGTGGACCACGATCCCCCAAAATGTTATTCCGTATTTAATCTTCAAGTGTTACACCAGCTGGGCTTGGACCTGGCGACGCATGAAATGGCGCAGTCGGACCTGCTGGCCAAGACGCGGCATGCTCAAGAAGACATGGAAGGTTTTCCTGGGGACTCGCCAAGCACGAATCCCATTCATGCGCCCGCACAACAGGAAAACTTAGAAGCGGAGGTTGGAAATACCCTTGAAACTCTGTCAGCAAATGATCCAGCCGTTTCCTTGCGGGAGCGGGTGGAACGTCTGCTGAATGCCGCCTGGATAGACGGCAGAGATGTACGGGGAGGGGGCTTAGTGAAAGAAAGCTGTGAAGACGACCTCCAACCCTTTGACAGTACCTCGCCCGCTTTGACGACCCACCTGTTGTGGCAACAACGGCATGCGGTGAAGCGGACTCCCCCCATGACTCCCTCGCACAGGCTCTGCACCACTCGTCGAGACACACCAACAACTGTTGCCGATGACAGTCGCAATTGGGCGCCCCACGGCGCGTGCGGTACAGCCGATACACACCTTCAAATGCAGGATAAGGAATTGTCGCAAAGGCATCGACAGGGGGATGCCGCTGCCTTATTCAGCGACGCTGGTTTCACCTTCCCCGCGCCATCGTATTTGGGCGGCAACAACGTGCTGGAGTCGAGTACTCAAACAAGTCGCAGTGATCGCTGCCCGCATAGAGACGCTTACGATTTGCGTTACAGCGGCGCGAAGGAGTTGAGACTTCAACCGGCAAGCCACTTTTTTGATTCTGCCGCAGTAACGCCACTTCAATGTGGGAGATGCGGGTCGCCTCTCTCAGAGAGACCTATGCCGGCTCAGAGCTGTGTTCCCACCGGTGGACTATCTGGCGACTGTCGTCAAAGCAGAATCACCACGCAGCCAAGTTATCGTTCAACATGTGGGATTGAGGAACGAAAACCTTATCTCACTAGAAGCAAAGCCCTACTCCTTGCGAGGATAAAGAAACTTGCGCATATGTCAAGCAAATTGCTGCCATCAGATAAATACAATATCGCTTTTGCCACAAGCTAATGAAGAGCACTACAGCTCTGGTGTCACGCACTCCTTCCTTTAGATATCCACTAAATCCAACATATACATCCTCTTCATTGTTTTGTATGGGGCGTGTTTCGCTACTGATCATGAATCTTGTGCATCTCAATGACTCATAGCCGTCTTCTTTAACCTCCGTATTCACAACAAAGGAAAATAAAAACCAGCTCACAAACGGACCAACAACAAAAATATTATAAAAACACAGAAAACTTATTGAAAATGTACGCAATTCCATGCATTTGTGTGGTGGTGTTGTTCCTGTTGCTGACCATCGCGCCGGTGCGTGGCGAGGGGGCGGACGGCTGGGAGGGTGAGGGTGGCGGTGCGTGGCGGAGCCCCGCTGCTTTGCACCCCATTGCGGCCGAAATGCGGCCTTTCATGCGTGAGATGATAGAGCACGCCTTTGGTTCCTACATCAAGTACGCCTTCCCAAAGGACGAGTTGTGCCCGGTAAGCGGGTCTGGAAAGAATACCATGGGTGGCTACGGGTGGACACTGATCGACGCACTCGACACACTGGCAGTTGCTGGGCTGCATACGGAGTTTCGCCGCTATGCGAAGTGGGTGGAGGAACATGTGAGCTTTGATATTGACGTCACCGTCTCCGCGTTTGAGACGACCATTCGAGCTCTTGGCGGACTTCTCGCGGCGCACTTTATGTACGAAGAAGGTGTGGTGGCGGTTGTGGCCTCGGAGCA